AAGGGCATGACTCTCTGGGCTCCTCTCTAAACAGGCTCTAATGGCGGCACTATGTAGACGGGTTGTTATGGTTTAGGGTCAAGGGTTATGGGAAAGCGATCAGGCATATCCGAAGTCTAGAAGAAGGAGAGCTGCTACGAATCCAGACCTAGCATCCGCGCTCTGGCTGGAGCAAGCCTGTCGCGTGACGAAGTTCCTCGAAACGCAGGCTCTCAGGGTGTAGTATAGGGGCCTTATCGAGTCCGAAGATCATAGTAGAAGTATACAGGCAATAGAAGAACCCATTGCTGCTAAACATTCCGACACATACATTAGATGGGATTCGAGTATCTTAAGCGATGTGTGCCTTCATTTCTCAGGGCTCTTTGGGTAGGCAAGCCTTTTCGGGCTGTCGGTGTAGGGGCTTTGATGGAGTCAAGCGCATTTTTGTAAGGTTGCTTGCTTTAGAGACTCCATCCCTCGCCGAAACCCGTGCGCCTCAGGTGAGTTAGCCAAATATCCCCAAGCCCTCAACCTGAAACTGGGATCCCCACACAGCAAGCCCCCAAAAACAGCCAAACAACCTACATCAGAAACTTAACTTTTGAGGTGAGGACAAGAACATCAAGCAAATCAGCCTGGCCAAACTAGACCCCCTCACGCCTCAGCCACTTTCTAGAACAGAACCTTAAACAGCTATATACATACATGTGTGTGTATGTGTGCATACGTCTACCCTGCATACTCTGTCTACTTTATATGCGTACTGTATATGTGTACCAAATTTGAGATCGTGTCTTCAATGCAAAACGAGTAGCTTCTGGAGAGGCTGAAGGACGATCTCCTGCACAGAAGCTTTCTAAAGGGTTTCTAGAAGGGTAGCATATTGGCAGTAGGGTCCCAGTTAGGCTCCTTCTTATCGGCTTTAGCGTCCTCTAGGTTTAGAAGGAGACTTTATTGAGGGTTAATGGTTCAGGGTCCTTTAGGATGCTTAAGGAGATTTCATTTAGGGTGTAGCGTCTGGGTTTCATCACGGCTCGTAAGCTTCTCCGGTTCAGGCTTGGTGTATGCGTGCTTCAAGTAGTGAGGAGTCTTCGGCTAAACCCTAGATTGGAGCTGTTAATGTACGCACCTGAACGTAGTTGCCCACATGCCACTTCTTCCCCCGCACGGCACAAACAAGCTCATGGGTACTTGCAACTAGTCTGTATGAGCAAGATAAGTGCGGCTCTTTGCTTTATTCTGTTTACAAAGATGGCTCTGCCCATCCGAGTTGTGCTTTCGGGTGAAGCTCCATGTGCAGCGGAGTCCCCTATGACCGCAAGCTGCTACTGAGTTCGATACCTCCACTACTGAGATCCCTTTATAGGAAGCCTAGATACGGAGCTGTAATTTCCTGGCCACTACTTGGCTGGCCCCATGACACAGCCATGACAATCGAACGGTGCACCAATAACATCCCGCGCGCGAAAAAAAAACATAGCCACAGGTGCCTGTGACACGTTTTTACGGTACAGACTTAATTGTTTCGGAGAGCCGAGACTATGTGAGGTTCGTGCGACAGCCCCACCCATAGCTATGGAAACCTCAGAACCTCCACGAGCAACAGCACAATTCCTGCCACAAGCACCACCGGGGGAATAAGTAACTAACAACATCATGTAAAGAGTTCTCGTAGCATGACACGCAGACCCCTGACAGAGATACCGACGATGATATACAGAACACGAACAGTATCTCTCTCGCAAACTAGGCAAGCGAGTAATCCGAGTAATATGAACCGTGCAAATTACGTTATGCTCAATACACCTGAAACATCCCAACACCCAAAGCCCATTGTTGATATACACATATGCAAACACCAAGCAGAGCCTAGTATTCGATGGCATGAACCAGCGTAAGGCAACAGAGCACAACAAGATGGACCATGACATGCTAGAAAGTGCTCAGCGTCACATTACCGTCGGAAATACTAACATCGTCGGCAAGCATACAAACGACAGAGACAGCGGCGATAATTTACGTAACACGAACAGCAACTGTAGCTCTTGTGTGCATAGGCACTCATGCCCAACCATGCGAGGACACCTCGTGTCAATAACATCAAGCTCGCGGAACTCAAACATGTGCAAAATTTCTGTAGCATACGTACCTACGAAGCAGAACAGAATCTAAATGACATGAACCTCCAATGTAGCACAATACAATCCAAAAATAACGTGCTAGAGCATGAACTAGTGTAATGTTATCCACAGCTTCATCAGCAACATATAGAAGGAGTCATCATCATGCCCACCATCATCATGACCAACATCACCTTCATCGTTATCATCTTCATTGTCATCGCGGCTTGTTTCTTCCCTTAAAACCTGCCGAAGCCTGGAAGAGAGGACGCCGCAGCGGAGCAGCATGTCCCCTACGATCTGCTCCCGTTCCCACACCTCGGCGCTTGGGCAAGAAGAACCCGAAAGGCCAACTATTTGGGGATTCGGGCTTGATTGAGGGTTCCTTTATATGGAGTTTGGCGCAGGCGCCTGAATAATTAGAATCGGTTTTGGAGTATGGCAGAGTAGTGTTGTATTAGTATTAACAGAGGAATAATATAGGTAAGCTATTCAGGCTTCTATATTCCAAGCACCCTCTCGTTGCGAGCAGTTCTTACGTGGACCTGGCCTTTATAGGATGGTTGCTGTTTGATGAGCGGCATGATGTTGGATCTCACGACGTGAAGTTGTCGTGAGGCTGTGTCATAATCGATCAACTGCAATCTGTTGCAACGCGCGGACTCGGCTGGTGGGTGTCTCCTCTGTTGGCGCTACGCGTGTGGTTCTCGGAAGTGGCAACTCTATCGGTGAACGCGGGTTGTCCGCGTCCTCCGCCAAGCACGAATCCCAACACACTGGTCTCATGTTGGCTTCGATTGGGTGATCTCCTGGTGGTCGTTTTGTTGTAGTGGTCGTCGTGGTGGTCCGAGTGCTCGTGGTCGTTATGGTCGTCGTGGTGCTCTTTCAATATTTGGGGATCTACGCTGGCATAACTACATTGTAGGGATTTTTCTTATTCTGGATTCAGGAATCTTCCTTGACTTGGCTGAGGGCTGGGCTGGACCAAACCTGGGCATCCGCAGTGGACTCAGCTCATGCTGAAGCCAAGTGTAGGCAGCGTGGACATCGTCGATCTCGACCTCCGTCGGTAGGCTTCCCAGAAAACCGCTGAATGCCCTGCACCCCCAAAAAAAATAACTCATAACACCCCAAACCCAAACCATGGATGTCATTGCGTAGCCTCGGGCGTTACTCGGAGAGTGTAGCATCTAAGGCTCGGGGAACAAAGAGCTCTCCATCTTGAGGTTTCATGTGGGAATCAGAATGCATTTGACTCAAGGATAAGCCCTGTAGCCCAAAGAACAGCCGAAAAGGCTTGTAGTCCGGGGAATAGCTCAGAAAAGGTCTTCTCATTGAAGCACTGCCAACATCATTGGGCCCCTTTGCGGAACGTACTGCAAGATACCATACCAAAACGAGGATACAAGCAAATGGCGGTTATAGCCCAATAGGTAGGAAGGCATATTCAATTGCAGCAGATAGGTTACCCTCCATATGTCCGCGAACAGGGAGTGCAAGTTCATTTACCATATCAACTCGTGCGTAATTGCTAGCAAATATCCCTTTATGGTATCTCACATTGGAAAGCTTAACTGCCACAGCAAGAATGGCACATTCAGGAACGTCAAACGGGCATTGGCTAGAAAAATGTCGCTAGCATAGCATCTTCAACCTGGAGCCTACGGAGCATATGGGTAGTTCTCTAAATTAGGTAAGGTCCCTTTTTGGGTCTTTTTCTAAGAGTGCCCTACTATGTTTGGGAGCTAAAAGGGGACCCTAATTTAGAGAACTCCCCATATTGGTTTGTAATTATCTTTGCAGGGGCCTGACTAAGTCGAAAAGGGTTGTTGGGGGCTACACTATAGCATGAAGAATTGGGAGAAGGATTCCCAAAGAATATATTTTGGCAACTTCTGATCCTAAACTTCCCTGGGTAACAACCCTTGTGCAAAGCCTTCTAGAACCATGTAAAGCCTCCCTCAAACAATGCTTGTGAAAGCCTTCTACAGCCATGTAAAAAAAAAGAAACCATTGCCCTCGATGGCCGGGCAGCCCCGTAGTTCGCAAGGATCCTGAGCACCACGTCTGAAGGCAAGGGGTCCCGAGGCTGGTGCAGATGTCGAAGCTATGTACATGTATGTCAGTCAAGCTATGCTTCTATGTATCTTTGTCTATATGTATGTACCCGTATCTACACAGGTGGGGTTGAAAGAGACTGACATGCCACTGTTCTCAACTCACTCTGCAAGGAATTCTTGTAAGGCTTGGTGTATCTGAGAGGTCTCTGAAAGGCTTTGCAGGAGCGGCCGTGTAGAGTTGTGTAGACTCTCGGAAAGGTTCGTAGCGATCCGGTTTTCCTTTGGATTATGATGCCTGCTTACGTTTTGGGGCCGCGGTCGTGAAGAGACCGGTCAGAATGTTGGCCCTGAACCCGTCGTGGGGCTTGGGAATCAGGCGTTTCCAGCGTAGGATACCTGTCATTTCAAGAAAACGGTCCTTCGTAGTTTGGTGTGGTTGAAACTTTTGCTCTGTGACAATGCTTCACGAGAGAACAGGAGCAGGTTGAAACATAGCCTAAACCATAACACAGCCTTAGCTTAAGGCTGATGTTCTGGAGCTGTTCCGGGGCCTTGGACTTGGCTATAACCATGCTCGTCGACAAGCCTGCTTGAGTTGGTAGAAGCAGAGGCTTCGGAGTTTGCTATTCCCCTGTTGGTAATTTTTTATGGGCTTGTATCATAGTCGCATCAACATACCTCTATGTCTTGAGCGCTTCGAATGAAGTCTTTGCGCTTAGGCGCAACTCCAAATCTTCACATGGCTAAGTTGTCAGTCAGAAGAGTTTCTCGCGCATTGCAATTATGGTTGCACTGACGTACAAGCTTTGGAATTCCACAAAGGGAAACGACTGCTGGCAAGAATCTGCTGCTGCTGTGGTGTCCACCATGTGACGATCAGCTTGCGCACCTCTTCCGGAAGCGGCTGGAAGCCATCGCAAACCAGCGGCACCGTCGTCACCTGCAAAAGTCCGCATCGCACTATGAACTTGCTTCGCAAGGGAATGCAGCGCAAGTGAACCCACAAGAACGAATTGCATCGCTAGAGATTCACATCCCACTATTTCCCTCCGCATTGTCCCCTCTGCGATGGTGCCTCAGTATGTAGTCTTCGCCGCTATTCTCGTGGTCTTCCTGATAATTCTATCACTTAGGGCTTTTGTGTGCAAGTCAAAGCACCAGAGAGTCATGAAAGCCGCGCCGACCCCACAACTTACAATCGGACGGACTGCAATAGTAGTGATAGACAAAGCGCAATGGCGGCCGCTACGGCAATGTATCAACCTCGTCAGTCAGGCGTAATCCCCAAAGGTCCACATATCTAATTGCCATATAATATCTTTTAGTACTAGCCGTCCTAACTATCCGACATCCACGTGCCTATTTACAATCTTAAGCCGCGCTAGGCCTTGTTCTTCCACGCCGTCGTGATCTCTCCGGCACACCAAACCTCGATCAGGGTTGGGTTTAAGGTTTACCTAAATCCGAACCTGAGCCCTAAATCCCAACCTCTGCACCTTAAACCCCAACCTCTGAACCTTGAATCCTAAGCCTAAACCCCAAACCCTAAGCCCTAAATCCGAACCTCTTTCTCCTAGATCCCTAGATGCTAAGCCCTAAAGGTTCAGAGTCCAGGAAAGGCTGGGTTCTTGTTAAGGAACCTAATTTAAGTTACCAACACTCTTTACTATAGATCCCGATTTACCTAGTTTAAGTTACAAAAAACAAGGAAACCATATCATTTACTATAGATCCCTATTTTTTATGGTAGCTTGAATATATGAAGTTCCTCAAAGCCAGAAATCCCAAGAAAGGAAAACAGGCGTCGGCCCTCGGGTTTCCAGGATTTCGGGTTCTCCTTCCGGGGCTTTTGCTCTTCGCTTACCCAAGGCCCGGGCGACCGAAGGTCCGAAGCTCCAAGAGCTCTGGAAGGGTTCTGTTCAAAGGGGAGGGTTTAGGGGTTTAGGGTTTAGGGGTTTAGGGGTTAGGGGTTTAGGGGATCTCTAAGAGCGCTTTGTAGGTTTCTATAAGAGATCTGTAGTCTAAGAGCTCGACACGCGTTCTATGAGGGATGTGGAAAAGCTCTTTTGGGGTTACTATAGTTAGAAGTCTTCTGTGAGGGTCATACTTTTTGTGCAGCAAGACTCCTGACAAAACATGCAACTCTCATCCATGCCCAGTTCTTCCAGTGTCAATCAAGGGCTTCTCTCATGAAGGTCTACGCTCCAGATGCCCGTTTCAAGAGATCGCAAAGCCTAAACTCATACTTCATGCCCCCGTACCCTAAACCCACAACCCAAGACTCAAAACTCCCGGCCCTTCAATCCAGATGCACGTTTCAAGAGGTCGCGGGTCAGCACAACCACAACGCTCTGAGTGGAGGATCGGACCTCAGCAGCTCTGACTCACGCAAAGAGTGGGTCGAGTTCGGTCAGTGCGGGCTTTGTCGTGCTTCGGAGGCTCCAAAGCAGGAGGTCTGCACCAAATATTTAGTTATAGGAAAGGTTTCAACAAGGGGTTACTGCAAGGCTTGCAAAAAAAGGCTTTGATAAAGCTTACTAACCCGTGTTGCTATTCCTGGTGGGCAACGCAATATCTCCACAATTCGTGTGCTCATAGCAATGCAGGAATGAAGGATTCTGTCCGTTGCCAGTATCTGAGTGCAACCCAAATTTGCGATCCCTCATATAAACCCTACACCCTAAGCCCGGAAGAATAGCCCGGAAACCCACAAGAGGATCCTCGACGATCTGCCAACAAACAAGACTATGGACCATGGACTACTACCCTAAACCCTAAAGAACCTACCCTTTACAGGACGTATTTAAGGAACTCATAATAAGGAGCCCGAAAAAGGTGGGTTCTTTAAGGTCCAGGTATACCTGAATTGTGAGATATCTTAGGCGAACTAACAGCTGACCTTTGGGATTTTTGAGGGATTACAGTAAACCGAAAGGGCTAAAGGTTACCTACTCTACTACGAAGATACTATACAATCGAACGGACAAAGCGCCTACAAACATGTTCAATGATATTCGAAGGAGCGTCGCCTTACTTCTAAGCTGGGTTTAACTATTTAATCTCGAAGACAAATCGTAGAGCCCCTAGCAGAGGGCCCGTAATAACATTCCTCCCGAGCCTCTAAGCCCACAGCCCATGATCTTCCTACTGTTGGAGATTTCGTGAGACGCTTCATGGGCATTGAGAGCAGGGATATGCAGACCTAAAGCTTATCCTACCTCTCTGCTGAAGGTCTTGCTTACAAGTACCGCGGAACCCAAAAGGCCCCGCAAACGTAAAAGCAACACTACGGTTGATGATATAAATCCTGCATTACCCATAATAAGGAATATGCCAATAATTCCCATAGTATAGGGTCCTTAAGGTAGTGCAAGATTTATCATCAACAGTAGTCAACGGGCTCGGGTCAAGACTTGCAACCTTCAGCCAGACCCAGCCAAATGCTCGAGCAAGCCCCACACAAACTTGTGGTCTTGCTGAGACGAATGCCTCGCATCTACAAACTCCAAAGTTTCATAGCGGATTCACAGACTTTGTCTGTAAATACAGTGTAGTATAAAGGGTAAGATCTTTTCTTTCCCAGATTGTAGCCCTTGTTCATGGAAGAGGAGCTCACATGCCTTATCAATCATAGTATCTGAACTGGCTCAGTAAATTTCACACTCCTAAACCCCGAAATTCAGGAACGCGGATCATAGCCCCAAGCCAAAAAAGCCAATATGCCCTGTAGAGCAAGAAACCCGAAACAACCCTGAAGCCCCTACTCCGCAAAACCTCAGCAGCTCCAAGTGCGCAAGACTCAGTTCCATGGCTTGTGTTGCCATCCTGATAGTGTCTCAGCCACACTTCTTCTTCTTCTTCTCGCTTTGTTTTCAAGTCTTTTCTTGCTGTCCTTCTCTGTCTTTGCCTTTTCATCATCATAGAACCTTCTTAACTTCTCATTATTGCAGTAAGCCCAGGGACAATGTCGAAGAGCAGGTCCAAGTTTTCAAGCTGATCGCAGTCCAGGAAAACCCGGGTAGGGCTGTACCTGCGGACAGCGCAGGCCCTCAGGGTAGTCTCCCAAATGCTAACCTACATATCGAAACTATCCGAAACCCAATTGCCTAATTCGTAAATGCCTTTTGGGGTTAGGGGTTTTGGACTGCAGCTTTATGACGGCGGCTGCTCTAAATGACTTGGGGCGCACTGTGACAACAATTACCAATCCCCCGCAATCTGCTACGTTTCCCAGTGTTCAGAGTTCAGGGTAGCAGCTCAAAGGTTAGTTATCGTAGAACCCACTAAGCCCGAACCCCAAAACTCTCAATCCCTATCATGCTAGCGTAGAGCCCCGAACAATGATTGCACATCCCATAGGAACCAATCAACAGCTGCCAGGAGCACCCCATGAGATGCGCACCAAACTGCGGCAGGAGCGCGATTGGCACTTCAGAACACGCACAGCACTATGGCGGGAGCAGGAGTCATGTGATTTTTGGAGGCAGAAACGGCAAAGTATTGAATTGCGGGTGTGTGGAGCAGCGGGACTGGGGACAAAAGCGCGCACTTAATCCCTATCAAGCTGACTGCGGAAAACTTTATAAACTCTTCCTCACAAAACCCCTCCTGCAGAACTAAGAAAAACCGCTGATATCCGATCTCGAGGGCTTGTAAGGGTTTGGGATTGAGGTGTGGGGCTTCGGGTTCTGGGTTTGTGGGCTTTGCGGGTTTCGCTGTTTAGGGCTTTGGCGTCTCGAGGGGTGCAGGCTGGATATGGAGTTCCTGCCTGTCCGGCGTTCTCAGCACGCTGGACTCTTTCCAGGTAAGAATCGAAGACCTTTTAACGCCCTGACTGTGAAGCCTAGACCTTCCCGAGCCGTCAGGGAAAGGGCAAAAAGCCTGCAGGGCCTGGCAATCATGAGCTTCATCAGCCGGCACAGGCTTCCGGCACCCCCTTTGTGATGGCAGAGGAAGATGCCGAAAAGGTATCTCTGCTGGTAATGTCCTGGGGTCGGAGGCTACCAAGTTGCTTTATTCCTGAACTCCACTACCCACAATCAAAAACATAATTCAGCTTGCCTCCCTAAACTTTAAACCCGAAAAATCCCTAGACCCTAAACCCTAAACCTTAACTTACTATAGCTGCTTTTTCTTGCAAGGCCGAGCCGCTCACAATGGACCGGACAAGGAACACGGCGCCCACTACAATCAGGCCGCACACCGGCACACAAAGCATCCATCCAAGCCTAAGCTCGGGGCTTTTCGGGGCCTTGAGGGGTACAAAGCAAGGACTGAAAGGTAAAGTTGTAGGTAAGATGACCATAACAAGGATCCACATATGCTCCAGACCTACTTACCAGTCCCATGACTCTTTCCGGAAGGCCATCAACCCAGGGGTTATGAGGCCACGACTGCGGCGACATGTTGACAGAGGAGGACGAGGAGGACGAGGGGGTGGGGGGGTGAGTTTGATGAAGAAACAGGAGATGATGCTGAGGGTGAGAGCATTCTTGTTGCTGGTGGCAGCGGGGTCGGTGTTGGTGATGGTGCGAATATGCTCTACGCTGGTCGTAGAATGAGAAATCAAGCAGATAGTGGCGGTGAAGATGATACTGGTGAGGAAACCACGAAGACGCTGTCAATGCTCTTGATCGAGGGGTATTCATGTGCCTCAAACCCTGCCATGTAGCACTGAGGTGGACTGCGAAAGGTCCAGCCGTAGCAGCGGGGCGGCACCGAGCAAAATCACTAGGAGGAAGCCGGTGAAGACGAGGTCGATGTTGTTAGCCTTTTGGAATCTTTTTGCTTTCAAGGGCTTTGCTGGGGTCGCCTTCCTTGGCCCAGCCCAGTCTTTAAAGACGGTCATAAGGGTTCAATACTAGTGGGTGCAGGGTTTTAGGATCCCTTTTCTCATCCCTTTGCAGTACGGGATAGTTTGAAAACATTCGGCTGTGCGACCCTGATAAACCTTCCCCATTCTCCTCCTCTCCTCTTCTCTCCTGCCCCTTGCTCGCCCCTTGCCTCACTTGGCTGTGAAGCTTCGCTCAAAGTATCACCGACTCAGTTTGGAATTCTACACAAAGTTATGTTAAAGAACCCTGTTCAAACCTCTCAGATCTTCGACGCAGTTTGGAATTCTACACAAGTTATGCTTAAGAATCCTGTTCAAAATTCTTGGATCTCTGCCAGTCGCAAAACTAATACTACCAGTCAATCCTAAGACCCTGTTGACAGGCAGCATGCGTTTACGAACCCTATATTCTATATCAAGCGGCAAGCCCGCGAAACGCCAAAGAAGGCATCCTAAAGCTCCTAGTCTTCTAGCTCTCCAGCCTGCTCTGTGCGCCAGGGGTAGGTCCTTGCTTGCAAGGCCATGCTCGCAATAAGCACGGCACCTCCAGGGTCGAAAGAGATCTGGTTCGGGGCCTTGAGGGGGCATCGAAACACCAATGTAAGATGCTTGGGACTGTAAGCCCTACATGAGGTGTTGCTTGTGGGCTCCATATACCCTATCTTTCTCAGCATTGAGGATGCCGGGAAGGCCTTCTTGTGCATCGGATTTCTGGGCGCTTCATTCAGGCTTTTGGAACCCGGGCGGGGGGGGGGCACGAAAGTGCAGTTTTCAACTTCGAGCGCTTTGGCTGCTTCGGGTGGCTGTGCACAGCCTCCTTGCATTCGGTCGGTTGGATCTGTGTCGGGGTGGGTGCCTACACAGGCTTCGCAAATGGTTATAACGCCGTAATCCCAAACCCTACGAGGAAATACTGACTTACTTAATCAACAGATTCAACCATAAACCCTCAACCCTACTCCTTCATACCCGAACCCGCAACCCCGTTTGTCGACCTCTGGAATGCCTGTGCCCTAAACCAAAACAAACGCCCCCTATCGCAAACCTCAAATCCTAGTATCGGGGCCTGAATAATTAGACCAGCGCGTCGGGGGGTCTAGTGCTATCTGAAAGTCTATCAGGCACTTCAGTGGAAGATGATTCTTGCTCATTCCGACCCCTATACTACATCCGAACTTCCAAACCTTACACCACATTACACCCCCCTCATCATCTCTTCTTAGCTCGCAATATCAAGATCCCCCCTGAGGTCGCGCCTAGAATAGGCACTTGCACCTCTGGCCAGTCGGAAGCAGCAATCGGCAAGATTGCCACGAAGCCTATGTTGGAGAGGGCTTTCTCCTAAGTTTATAGGTTGCTTAGCATGTTTTAGTTGGGCTTCAGAATTCCAGCATTGTGGCTTGGGTTTCTCGGCTTCAGACAGCTTAAGAGTGCTGGCTTTGATCCAGAGCTGCAGCTGATGTGTTCGGGGTAAAAATGACCGAAAAGGCGACTCGGGCTTTCGGTTGTAGGCCTGCGCTGACAAAAATCTCCCGAGAACTGAACCCCGATCTCTTGCAAGATACCTGAGTTAGGGAGGATTAACGAATGTGTACCTTGAAGTATGATACCGGAAAGAGCAAGCACAAGCTTTAGCCTTTCGAGCTCTGGTCCGTTTTATAGAGTGTAACTCCGCACACATTGTTTTCTTGTCTGACTGCAGGCTCACGTGCTTCTGAACAGTGCTTTCACCAAGGCACCGAAACCAGAAACTCACAACATCTGTGGTTTCAGAGGGCTGCACCGCTCGTTATGGGGGGGGGGCCGGGGGGTGTCAGGTCGAATCTTTCGGGGTATCACAGGGCTGTGGTGCAACTATTGCGAACGACGAGTCTCCGAGTCTGTTTCTTCAGAATTCCAAGAGGCACTTGCACGGTGATTTCAATCCTCTCTCTCGGAAGGCTTTCTGACAGTGTTGAAGAAGTCATTCTCGACATCCCATGCCACAGTTCCGGACGTGCTTTTGCTCTACGACTGTATGATTCAATCCCAGAAACCCCATCGCCTACTGAGCCCTGCTGGGATTCATGCACATACTGCGATTTGAAGCGCAGCTCACTTCCTCCTGGGACCCCCAATGTCTTGGGTGCTTGGTTGGACGATCAAGACGTGGTAAGTGTGTTGTATTTCGCATGATGTCACTGGCTGCTGGAAAGTCTGACGGGGACAAGAACTTTAGATTCGGTGCCAAGGAGCTAGACCACGAGCGCATGCTTTGCGTGCCCAAAGAACCGAAGCCCCATAAATCCCTCAAAGCAAGCTGAAAGCCTAAACCGGCACTCTTGTCACAGGATGTCGCCATGGAGAGAACGTGAAAAGTATTCGACACTTTTGGCCAGGAGACAGCTGCGATACAGCACCACCAAGCCGTAGTAGTAAGTCTCTGCTTTGAACCTTGCGAGAGCGGGACTTCCCTTTTTCTCTTGCGACTGTGAAGGGCTGAAACGAAAGGCATTGATTTGTTGCGGGAATGTTGCACTATAGTTGTCTACTAACTACTAGGAATGTGGTTCAAAACAATAACAGCAAGCTTCGGGATGCTATGAGAATCAGGCTCCAATTTCAGGGGTCTTGGGCCAGTTCCTGGTATATGGCTTCACAGAACACGAAACGGGCAGAGGATACCGAATCACCGCCGGAGAGACCGGTGGAACAGAAAGCGATGTCGGTTCACCAAACGGAGGCCTCTGCCACTCGCAACCCGTGAGGGGTACCTGGGCACCAGAGCGTTCACCAGCATGTTGCTTCACCCCTAAACTGCGACCCTGAAAGCACAATCCAAACCCAAGAGCCTGACTTTCAACAAGCATACCCTTTTCAAAACTAGGAGACATGTGGCCCGAAAGCATCATTTGCGAAGAGTTTAGCGCTA